TAACCCTATAATGGCTCAAGTGTAGAGCTTGTTACTATTCCAACATTTATTTGATAGGTTTAAAGGGCTTTGGTGCTTTTGTTGCATGGTTCTATATGGAACCCCAGAGTCCTTGTGACTCTGCCTAAGTTAATTAATAGCCTTCAGTCAACAGATTTGCTAATCCTCCTGTCCTCTGAAAGTTTTTGAGTAGAGGGGAAAAATAAGAACCAAGTTTTTCAAAACTCCTCACAGAGAGGCTCCTTCATGTAAGGCCTCGAAGCCTGAAGGGCTAATGCAGTATAGAACAGCTTGGGCTTGGAAAAAAAGCCTAGTAGGGAACTTACTTCCCTATTCAACTTACTGTCCTCTTGTGAACCTAAAAGACCTGATGGAGTCATCAGTGGAAAATGTGATTTTATTATTATCCCTCACCCCAAACATAGACGCAGACATGTGAGTGAATAATAGATGCCACATCAATGGGTTAGCTTGATATAGCAATCTGTTGCATGTTTAGGTTTAAAAGGATTTAGACCCAATACTGTTGCTAATCTGAGGGCTCATTCCCACTATGATTTAAAGCAAATTGCAGATTGGGTTATATGACTGTCGTTCTAACTTGAAACCAGTTCCGATCCTATTGAACTCGGCTGCAATTACAATGAAGTGAGGCAAATGCAAAAAATCCGCTGTTTCCTGATCATAGAATCATAGAATCATAGAATCATAGAATCATAGAGTTGGAAGAGACCACAAGGGCCATCCAGTCCAACCCCCTGCCATGCAGGAACTCCCAATCAAAGCATCCCTGACAGATGGCCATCCAGCCTCTGCTTAAAGACCTCCAAGGAAGGAGACTCCACTACTCTCCAAGGGATTGTGTTCCACTGTCGAACCGCCCTTACTGTCAGGAAGTTCCTCCTAATGTTGAGGTGGAATCTCTTTTCTTGCAGCTTGCAGCCATTGTTTTGGGTCCTAGTCTCTGGAGCAGCAGAAAACAAGCTTGTTCCCTCCTCGATATGACATCCCTTCAAATATTTAAACACGGCTATCATATCACCTCTCAGCCTTCTCTTATCCAGGCTAAACATCCCCAGCTCCCTAAGTCGTTCCTCATAGGGCTTGGTTTCCAGACCCTTCACCATTGATACTAGTTCTTTGGTGGTTCTTTTGAAAAGAATTGATTCCAAAGCATGTTCAACAAGTGGGAATGACAGATCTGAATTGGATCATGCTGGAGGGGATGGACTAATGGCAGAGGGTATTTACCTCCCCCCTCAGCTCTGCCTTTGTGCCTGTGTGACCTAAAACCAAATTGCTGAATATACGATCCATTGTTTTTACAACTTGGTGGCATGCTAGGTGATTGAGCCGATGGCAGCTCAGTGAAACAAGTGGTTGCAAAACCAATGGATCAAACTTTTATCATTTTTTTTTTAAAAAAAATAGTTCCCAAGCCAGGCTACTCAAAGGGGAAACTTTTGACTATTTGAGTGTATACTTTTGAGCAGTCTGTTAAAGTCAGCCCGCTCTGGCCTCATCCTCACCATGTTGCCACTTGCATCACCGATAAAGCATAGATGATTGACATGCATTTTGAAGTGGTGCAAACTAGTGAGAATGACAATTGTGCTAAAAAAGAAGTGATTACAAGGGAATAATTACAAGGGAATTATTATTATTATTATTATTATTATTATGAAAAGATCCACTTTCATGGTGGGAATGATGGATTTTTTGGAATTAATTCACCGACACGGACAAAGGCAAATCACAAACCAGTTTAAATGTAAGTGGGAATGAGGCCTTACTCTGCATGGGAGATAGTAGATTTGGTGTCTATATAGCTGCAACATGGCAGTGAAGGAATTTGGCAGTGAAGGAATTTCACTTAATCATGGTCTGCTTGTTTCATTGGTTTCAGCAGGATTTAATGTAGTCATGACTGATCTTAATTGTATTCAGTCCATTTTATAGAGCTACACAGTAACCTTATAATATTTTATATTTGTTGTTGTGTGCTTTCAATTTGTTTTGGAGTTATGGCAACTCTAAGGTGAACCTCTAATGGAGTTTTCTTAGCAATATTGTTCAGAAGAGGTTTGCCATTGCCTTCCTCTGAGGCTGAGAGGGTGAAATTTGCCCAAGGTCACCCAGGCAGTTTACAAGGCTGAGAGGGGAGTTGAACCTTGGTCTCTCAAAAGCATAGTCCAACACTTAAATCACTACACCACATAGAAATAAATATCTGAAAGTCCAAAGAAAGGATTACATAAAAGCTTTATCTCCATCTCTGAAATCCCTGCCCTCATCTCTACTTCTTTATCCATATGGCTACATGGATATAGAGCAGGGCTGGGAAATATGTGATTCTCAAGATGTTGTTGGAATACATCTCCCATCATCCCTCATCATTGGCTAGTCTCACTAGGGCTGATTGACACTGCAGTAGAACATCTGAAATGCTACCCAGAAATCCAAAGAAAATGCAGTACTGTTTACAAGGGTTCACATTTCAAAAAAAAAAAAAAAAAGCAATTTGAGTGCTAAGACTACCCAGATCTTTTACACTTTCATTTTAATCTGGGCATTCTATTTTTAGCTAATTATAAGTTATCTAAGAAAATTTGCTAAGCCTCAATTGTTAAGTGTTGCAAAGGCTTCCAAACAAACTGGAAAGCTGCTATAACAATTCCCTGGCTAATATGAAGTATGAAAAATCTACTCCCTGGAATCCTATTCTGGAAGCTGATTTCTGCTTTCTGGTCCTTCAGATTTCCTGTTCTCAGTCTGAAGGTTGAAATCTTGCAGTAACAGTAAGCACTGTGTATCCATGCCTTCATGTGCATGTGCACAAATGCAGAAGTTCAAATCCTGTGAGTTTCCTTCAGCATAACCTCTCACTCTCTTCCTCCTCATTTTTTTTATATCCTACCTTTCTCCAGTATGTGTCTCTAGATGGCTTACAATAGTTACAGCAAACATAATTACAAATTTACAGCATACACAATAAAAAAGCAATTAAACTATCATAAATTAAAACCAGTTTTAAAAATTAAAAAGTTAAACAAGAATTCAAAACATTATACAAGGCCTGCTTCTTTGCCCCTTGATGTCTTTCCCCCCCAAGTCATCCTTCTTAATGGTTTCTTTTCTTGGCTTCTCTTTTCTGAGCCCATTGCATCTTTCCCTCAACTACTTGCCCCTGTCTCTTAGCTTTCCCATCTCAAGGAAACTTTCTTCTATGTGTGCCCCTTAAAGCTACACACAGAAATGCTTCTGAATCAGTCTTATATGATATGCTCTTACTTCTGGAGTCAACAGTTTTGACCATATTATTATGGTTGCTTTGTATATTTGAATGATTTTGTATATATTTTTATTTTAGTTGTTACACTGCCTTGGTAATATTTTTAGGACGGGGATGTATACAAGCCTATGTGCATGTGTCCATTGTAATGTATCTCTCAGAATATGTTCTGTGGAACTGAGAAGTGAGGCAATATGTGCATGCTCCAATAAAAATCAAGGAGGATTGAATCCACAGAAAAACTTTAAAGGGGGGGGGGGGTCTGATGATACATAAAGTCTGCCATAAGAGTCATGAAACTGATTTTGTGGTTAATTGCTGTTAAGTCAATTTTGACTTATGGTGGTCCCAAGGATCAGAGGAGCCATTGTGGTATAGTGGTTTCAGTGCTGACCTAGCACTCAGGAGGACTGGGGTTCAAATTCCTACTAGGGCATGGAAACTCACTTGGTGATCTTAAGCAAGTCACACTCTCTCAGACTTAGAGGAAGGCAATTGCAAACCCCCTCTGAACAAATATTGCTTATGATAGGTTTGCCTTAGGGTCACTATGGCCCAAAACACATTGGCCAAATAAGATTTGGGGGCATAGTGTTCAAACAACACACACCCTTAAAGTGGTTGAAAGCTCCTTCGGTGCTGCAATCCAGTCCTTTGGACTGGATCAAAAAGGAGTGAATTAAATCCAACTCCTGGTTGTGCTGGTGTGGGACTGTGATGGCAGCCTGCTTGAAGAGTGGGCCATGTAGTCATTGTGGTCCAGCCTGATTATGGCCATACACAGAAACTGGAAATAAGAATGACATGGGCAATCCTAACATTAGTATTCAATTATATATCTTTACTCTTCAAAATCTTGTCTGGTTTCTTCATAGCTTCAGGGCCATCTTTTCTGGGTGTATAAATTGGAAACAATTTGAAGGCACACAAAAACTAAACCTCACAGAGATCTCACAGTCACTCTGTTATCAACAGCCTTGTTCTGATCTTACAGACTCAGAGCTGTGGGTTTCTTGAATTTATCTACTTGTACATGAAACTGGTTATCCAGATCCATTTCAGGTCTTGAACTTAAGCTGCCTTCCATTGCCCTGATGGATTGCTTTTGCTGTGATCATGACAGGGAGCATGTGGCCCTGTTACTTTTCCTCTTAGCACTTTTGATATCATCAATCACGCTATTATAATTAACAGGCTGTCTAAATTGTAGACACTGTGCTTCAGTGGTTCTATTGAAAATAGTGCTGTTGCTGATGCGTATCTTACAAACAAGATGGAGTTGGACCTCTTCTGAAGAGGTTTTCACTCCCCCTAAATGATCAGGTTAGCCAACGATTTTGAACACATTTAGTACATGTGCATAAATCACTTCAGAAGACTATATTTTTATGTTAGAATTATCTAGAATTAAAGAGTACTGTATCTCAGGAGCAGACACATAGTACCTTTCAATTGTTTCCTAATATATCCTAATAATATAGTTCTGTAATGAATGCCAGTTCCTAAATGAACTCCACCTCATACTCATTCTTGACAGAGTATCTAGTTGAAAGCTCACACTTCCCTTTGATGATGCACTCCCTCCTTTCATACAGAGGTCTACATATCAATGAGAAACTTGACATGTTTACTATCTTGGATTCTCCTCCCACCATTCTTTCACTTAATGCCATAAATCTTAGTTAAGGGCCACAGACTATTTGACAGATATGTTAGAGTTCTTGTGTCATTTATAAATAGGACGTGAAGAGAATTAAGTGCTTGGCAGATCATTTTTTGTTAACTATTCTCAGGTTGACTTCACCTTATGGTAACACTATGAATGAGATATCTCCAAGTCACCATACTGTCAACAACCTTGCTCAAGAGTCTTGCAGATTCATAGCCATGGCTTCCTTGATTGAATCCATCCATCTGGGATGTGATCTTCCTCTTTTCCAACTATTCTCTACTTTACCAAGCATTATTGTTTCTAGTGACTTGTGTTTTCTCATGATATGGCCAAAATATAACCATCTCAGGTAAGTCATCTTGGCTTCTAGGGATAGTCAAAGCTAGATTTGCTCTAGGACTCATTTATTGGTCTTTTTAGCAGTCCACAATATCCACAGAACTCTTTTCCAGCACCACATTTCAATGGGCCAAATAAAGTGGCTTCTGGCTACTTTGGGGTGTGGCATTTACATGACGCACCCCCCCCCCAAGCAACTGGAAGCTGCACGGAGGCTGCACTGAGATGGCAAGAGCTGGCCCAAAAAGGAGTGAATTAAATCCATTCCTGCTGGTGGTCTGCTTGGGACTGCAGCAGAGCCCACTTCAGGAGTGGGCTGTGTGGTTACCATGGTCTCAGCATGATCAGCACTAGAATGGCCACAGGCCGCTCCTTTTGGGCCGTCTGGATATATTCACCCTATGCCCAAAAGGAGCGGCCCAAAAGGAGCGGCCACAGCTTCACCCTATGCTTCTACTAATGCAGGCTAAAATATCATTCATCTTGTTTGCTGCAGCATCACATTGCTGGCTCAAGTTCAACTTATGATCAACAATAATCCAAGGTTCTTTTCACATGTAATACTACTGATCCATCTATACCCCATCCTATACCTCTGCATTTGGATTTTGTGGCAGAATGTTGCATTGGTCTCTAATGAATTTTGTTTTATCAATTTCTGCCCAGTTTTCTAGTTTATCCAGGTCCTTTTGAATTCTGTTTCTATCATCCAATTTGTTAGCCACCCCTCCTTATTTTGTGTCACCTGAAAACATGGTAAGGATTCCCTCCATGGAATCATTAATTAATTGATAAAAATGTTGAAGGATAATGGCTCTAAGACAGAAGCCTCATGAAGGTGTATTGCTTAGTTGGAGAAATTTTGAATCCCTTCTCTACAGCTTGTTCCTGACAGTGACTATCCTTCAGAGTCTTTCCTCACTGTTACTGGTCTATTCATTTTTTTTTATGGTAATTTCTTCCTCCTGGTTCTGTAAGATCAATTCTCCCTGTGTTCTATCTAGAAATTCCTCATGTTCTCTGATGCACTGAAGGGATTTATCATTAGTTGTATTGCACTGACCTCCTCTTCCACTTGCTACAGATGTAGCTGTTGGTGTTTTCTAGGAAGACAATAGACATTTCACAAATATTGCAGCAGACAACAATTGATCCTTCTACCTCCATCTCTGCAGTTAACAATCTCCCTTTCTTTTCTATATGGGACATAACCATGCATCCTTCTGGCTCAAAAGTTTGCTATCTCTTTCCCACCTGGCTACTTTTTTGCTCAGATTGACTTCAACAGAGGCTAATGAGGAAAAGTATGCTGATGATCTGCTACTCTCCCAAAATATCTTTATCTGTGCCCCCTGCCCCCATAGACCTTTAAACCTGGCTGATATTCAAATTTGCCATCATGAGACATTGCAGGATACCAATGTTGATGTGATTACTCTGCTAGGGAGAGCTTTCTTACTAGTGTAACAACCTACCCAGAAAGACTCATCTGGAATTATTTTTTTCTATCCTTTTTATGATCAAGTGAAGACCTTTTTATTATTCTAATCAAGATATTTTTATAGATTCTTATATACTCTTGCAATATAAATTATTATCTGGTCAAGTTTTAAGGTCTGCATTACTAATCATTCTCATTGTTCCATTGGTAGAAAGAAAAGTTTTCACACTGCATTGCTTCTGTTTTTGTTGTGTTTTAAGAGTGTATTTTATTTTTGATTTCTTAAGCCACCCAGGGAGTATATGTTGATGGGTGGCCATATACAAATACATATGGGAAGCAAAGACAGGAGTAAATAAATACACCAAAATTCCTTTTGTTCTGTGAGCTAGTAATTTGTGTGTTCCTGTGTGTCTTGTGACCAATGCCACAAAAAAGGAGCAGTTTTATAGGATTTTATATATGTTACATAATTCACAATTTTAAAGGTATGGAATTTTATATGTACACTTGTAAACTGTTGTATGCAATGTATCTTAATATAGCCTTCTGGAAAATTAATTAGCACTGCATTTGTCCTTGAGTATTTTATTCATACACATGTATTGTGAAACATAAGTGAAAGGATAGATGTATCATGCTAGGCCTGGCTGAGGACTCAGAGGATGAAGGGAATGAGCAACAGCCTCCCTTGGGACCTGAGCCTGAAGCTGTTGAGCTTGAGCCTGGCCCTAGTTCTACTTTGCCAGCTCCAGCGGAGACTGTGGCCTCCCAAGGGGCTCAGTAGCCAAATCTCCTGGCAGCAAAATCTTCAGACATGAAGGAGGATCAAAGGATAATACCTACCTTCAGCTAGTGTCAAGCAGAAAAGGAGGGCATTCGCTGGTCAAGGAGACTTTATGAAAAATGCCAGAGCAATCAGCCTCAGCTGAGAGCTCCTGCAGCTTGGTAATTTAAGCAGATGCAGAGGGTCTGCCTTGGTGCCAGAGATTATCTGAGCCTCCTAGCAAAAGCCTCTCTTTCTCCTTGTTCCTTGGCCTGAAACCTTGACTCTTGGACTGCTGACTTATCTTGAACTTCTGGAACCCGTGATCTTCAGACTGTCTTGTTGCTCTGTCTCTCTGGAATCCTAGACCTTTGGACTGCTTGACCATTCTCTGATTGGACTTTTGGATTGGTAATATGAAACTTTGCTTTCTTGCTTTACATTAGCAAAAGACTTTTGTTTGCCTTCAACCCTCACAAGAAGCTGCTATCAGCACTCTTGGTGGCTTTCCTGGACAGGATGAGACAGGTAAAGCTGATCAGAAAGGTACAACAAGAAGAAAGATGTGGAGAAAGCTACAAGGAATGAGATTTAATCAGCTGCACACATTTCTGTGAAAACTTGCTCACTTTGGAATAAATAGCTTATCACATGATACTATGTATATGGCGAATGCACTTTGCCACCCAACTCCAGAAATAATGAGACAGGACACAAGATCAGGACAAAACAGGGCCATTTATTAATTAACCTATTTATTATTTTTTTAACAGAACTGCAACTAATCAAAGAACCAAGTGTGGGAGAAGCTGCAGCTGGTGTCTTTCTCTGGTCCACCTCTGCAGCTTGTTTGGATGGTAACACCTGAGCCCTCAACGATAATCCAAACACTGGGTTATTAGTTGACTGGCCCATATTAGGAAGCCTGACCAGAAAGTCCCTCTCTCAATCTGTGAAGATTAAAGATGGGGTTTATCTTTAAAGCCAGACCTAAGGGCAATTTCTTTCTGCAATCCCCCCAGGTCACAAGGCCAGAAATGTTCCTTCCACCAAAATGGTGTCTAAGGTGCTCACCAAAAAATAATTCAATTAGTTTTGCTGCAGATACAGGACAAGCATCTACTTAGCCCCTATCTCCCGCCTTGGCATTGAGCATCTCCTTAATACCTTGTTGCAGGTCCGTTAAGAATATGGCATTACCAGTTTCAAAAAGGTAAA